TTTTCGGCCTCCTCCGCCGGGCCGGGCCGGGTGTCTCCTGGGCCGCGCGTAGACGCTCCACCTGCTGGAGACCCAGGGCAGGGGCCAGGGCCTTGACTTCCAGCCTCGAGTGCCATCTATTGAGCCAGCGCTGCCCTCCCTGTGGCTGTTTTGCTGGGCTTTAGGGATTTAGCCACGTTGGAAATAGAAGCAGCTAAACGTGAGATATTTTAATTGTGTTAAGGATAACACTTAAGTGTGTAAACCTCGTAACTATGTCATGAACTACCCCCAAAGGACCACTTGTTTATGGAGGAAAAGGAGAAAAGCCTCTAGCTGCAAGTCAACATTTCACTCAAATATATATATATGTGTGTGTGTGTGTGTTTGATGGCTTTTCTCTATACTGAACTGATAGTATGCACTTTCTAAGCTGTGATGTGCAGAATACTGACAACTGTTATGTTGAGGTCTGCGACAGGGGAAACCACAGAAATCAACATAATTTCAAAGGGAAACCCATGAATTCTGTAGATAGGCCATCTCTCAGATAATTTCTGGGCTACGATGTACTGTTCTGTTAAAGCAAACCATTAAACACCTCCACCTGAGTTTCTGTAATAGTGTGATTATTAATACTGAAATAGTAGCACAAGCATTTCTCCGGCGAAATGCATCATTCTGAAAGCACTGGCGTTTGTTCAGCAGAAACGGTGAATCGTGCCTGGCTTACTCGTTCTGCCTCATGATGGAAAAAGCAAAAGGTTTCGTTTTTTAGTGCGTTTAGTTCAAACAGCATCGTGCCGTTCCAGCAAAACCAAGTCGCCATTCATTACCATCCTTTTGACTGTTATTTTAAAAGGCAGGGTGAAGAAGTGAAGGCAATCTTTGTATTTCAGACAAGGGAGGAGAAAGAAAGAAGATTCAATCTTTTTTCCTCCATGTTTTCTTAACACACATTTCTACATAAAGGCAGAACATTTTGCCTGTGGATCTTGCCTTTAAGTCGAGCTCCGTAGCAGTTGACAAAGATTTTTAAGTGCCAAAATTCATACGAATATCAGATGGGAACATTGTATAACATATAGCACCTCAAGGAAAAAAAGTGGGAAGAATGAGTCAGGCAGAAGCTGATGATGCTTCCCTTGGTCTAATGAGCCTGGCTACCTTATATATTCAACAAAGAAAAACAAAAACAGGAAAAAAACCGTATCATCCAACTGCAACAAATAAAACCCAACTCAATCCTACTACCAAAACCAAAAGGGCGCCTTGCCACCAGATGAAAGTCATTGTGCAGACACTGCAATGAACGGAGGTACCTGACTAGAAACCACCACCTAGCAAGAAAATCTTTCCTAGGAGATTATCCTGCTCCCAAACACCCCGCCGGCAACACCAGCATCTTTGGACTCCCATCTGGACAGTGCCATCTGGAACACAGGAAATAACATCCACTTCTCAGAAAGCGTTAATAAGTCCCATGGCACTTCACAAGCAAGAAAAGCACCATTCCGGTTTGGATGGGGATAGATCCATCGCAGGCTCTGTTTCTATGGGATTAATGCCTCGATTTTGCTTGGCATTATTTTTTTTAGCTTAACCTATATAACATGCATCACTACTTTGATATGATATAGCCTAGAATAGTTTGAAGGGATTTTAGGATACTGTCTTCTCCATTCCAACTTCAAAGGGGCTTGATGCCACCGAGCTGAGTCCTTTCCTCCTGCTCATTCTGTGAGAACAACTCGGAGCCTCTGCAGCCGCTTTCCCGTTCTGCCCGGGGTGCAGGAACCCCCGGGCTCTTCCCTCACCGCTGCGCACTTCCAGAACTGTGGCACGAGGGGCTGGGAGAGCGGCAAAGCTTTGGTGCTGCTACACCAAATGCATTTCACAGCCGGCCACCACGCTCAGTTCTGCAGAGCCGAGCTCCCCGAGCTCGCAGCGACGCAGCACGGAGCAACGCGGCTCCTTCGGACCCTGTGAAGTCCTGGTGCAGGAAGCAGCCGCGCTCGCGCTGCCCTGCGTGTCGGCTCCTCACCACGGGTAACTCGTGTGGAAGGACCTTCTGCTCTGGGGGAGACGCTGCACAACCAGCCCGTTAGTCCAAGGGGGCTGGAGCGGGGTAGAGAGCAGAGGGGTGTCTGCGAGCAGAATAAACGTGTCCCAAAAGAACCAGTTAAACTAAAAAGTTTAATCACAGAGATGGCGTTTTGAGAAGGAATACACAGCAAAGAGGACATCAGAACGTATCAAAGGCCAGGAACATAGTGAGGATGTTACAGAAGGCTCTTAGACCAGGAGAGGGGCAATACAGACAGATCTAGGTGAGTAAATAAGATGAATAATAATTTCAAATTGAAGAAAAAATTATATCTAACTACATTCAAAATTATGACAATTATGTTAAGTCCTAAATGTATTACAAATTATTGTTAAAAAGAACTTCAAGCAGTTTTAAGTAAAGGTGAATCACAAATGTGAAAGAATTATCATACGAGGTAATTTTGTACTGAACTGAAAATTATCTTGCAGTGCTGCTAGCTTCTTTTGCGTATATTAAAAAAAATCATTTCTGTTTGTTCTATTTACAATGAGTAATTCGACATTAGGAACAAATCAGGACTCTATAAAAAGAGCAAGGTGGGTTGTTCTTTCCCAGCAAATAAACAAGCACCAGGCAGGAGAGGCTGCTGTCATAACTGACTGATTTTAATTCAGAATTAACTAGCACCACCCAAAAACAAAACAAAACAAAAAAGCGCTGGTAAAATCTTTCATGCAGCCAGTAAAGTGAACCAAACTGGAAAACTTACTGAGGTTAAAATTTGTCAACAGCAAAAAATCTGGTGACTTTCGACTTGGAATATTTCATTCGTAGATGGAAAGCAGTAGTACAGAAGCAAGGCCAACGTCTTGTTTTGTGACAGCAACATCAACCCAAGGTGATCGAGAAACCACAGCCTCCGATCTACTTGTTTTGGTATCATGAAGGACAAAATAACCAGAGACCTCTACACAACTTGCTAACTGCAGAATGTATTTATTTAATCAGTTTTAAGTTAAGAACATTTGATGACTTGTTTTTTGGCATATGTACGCAGCACATTCAGCGTAACTACACAAAACTCGTAACTTCCAAGTGTTGCATTTCATTCCTATCAAATGTGGTTTGACACAAATTGAGGGGAAAAAAAACCAATGAAATGTATCAATAAATATTTCTATTGTCATAATGTAAAAAATTAGAAATCTAAAATGGTATAACAAGCTATCTACTTGATTAAATGTGAATACAGTTCATCTTTATGGATAGCCAGAAGAATCAAATGTAACATAAAAGATGTCTCTAGTTGCAAATCTACATTTTGAGGGTTACAAATCATTGAGAATCAACCTCTTAATAAAAATCTTTTATCGCATCTACCACTTACTGTAACTGATAATTTACATAACTTTTAAACCTGCGTCATGATTCAAATCAGCAATGTAATAAAGAACTTAATATCCACACTTGAAACAATATAAAGCTGCAAAGTTTCAGACAACAAAACACAACTGTAGAATACCTCTATTTTAAGAAACAGGCAGTAAAATGCATGCTGCTGTAGAATCCTTATTTAGCCTGGGTATTTTTCAAGCTACTGGGTAAAAAAAATCAATGGTTTCAGAATCCTTTTTGGTAGCTGTATTATTATTTCTATTATGGACCCTGAAGAATTAAGCCATGAGCTTTAGGACTTGTATTTAATTCAAAGGATTTTGTCTAAGGAACAGGCAAGAGAAGTCAGCTCAACTATGTAGTTGAGATCAACGGGAACAAGGGAAGCCCACATGAATGGGGATACCAGAGCCAGGAATAGACTGAGACTGGATTCTGCGCAGACTCAAGAAAAAGTCTTGAGAAGACAAAGCACTAAAACCTAAGAATGTAATTTAGCATCATTTTGTCCATCCCCATGTTTAACTACAGTTAAATGCTTGCAATGGACAAGTTTGGATTCCTGAATGAATGGGTTTTAAAACAATGTAACTGCAGGCAAATGGTATAGTCATGATTCATGCAACCACACTGAAAAAACATCAGGCGTAGATTTAATTCCTTCCTTCGTTCATCAGAACAAAGAGGTGAGGGTTTCCTGGGATGCCCATCTTTTTTTCCTAAGAAAATATAGTAGTCGGGCAATCTCAACTCTGTCTCACCCAGGACTCTGACTATACTGCTGCATATTTCAGAATTTGTTAGTCAAAATCCTGAATTCAGAGGAATTCTGAAATCCTAAATTAAGAGGAGTTCTGAAGCAAGCTTGACCTTTGACACCTGCAGAGGCAAAGCTCAAGGCAAATTATCCCATGATAATAACACACAGATAAAAGAAGGCGTGCAGATGAAAGCAAGAGAAACATAGAGAGGAACGACAACTGGAGAAAGAATGGGAAAATAGAACATTCCTCCCTCTTCCGAGCTTCTCGCACCCCTTTCTTCTGCCTGTCTGAGGGCCTTGTCCAAGCAGGCGATTAAAAAACCTCATTTTTAAATGCAATCTGAAACAGTCTTTGTTTAAAGTATATGACAGTAGGTTGATTAAAACACGATGCTTTGAAGACAGAGCTTGAACGAAAGGCATGGCTTGGGGGAGCCGGCGCAGCGCCTTGTGCTGCGCCCGGACGGGAAGGCCGAGGGCTGCTCCGTCGGGAACATCCCAGGAGGGCCGCAGGGACACGGCCTTGAGACCAGCTGTCAACCCTAAAAAAAGTGACTAAAACACTGCCCAAAGCACATCCACTTCACAGGGCCCAGGAGCTGGCCCTTGCTGTGCGTGAGGCAGTGTTCACCAAAAATACAAGAAGCAAAGTCCACCATTACTCTGTGTTGTGACTAGAGAGTAGTAATGGGAGAGTATCATTTACTCCACCCCAAAAGAACAACTTACAGTTAATATATTACAAATTGAGAGATAATATATAAAAAGTTCAGAAGTGTTATACCGCTTCAAAAGAGTCACAGCCTATCAGTATAAAGGAAGAATATAAAACTATTTTATTGACCACTGTTCACCAGTATTTACAATAAAGTAAACAATATACAGTCTGATAACATTCAAATTACTACAAAGTTAGTTTCCACCTGGTCTTCCTGGAACCAAGTGATACCAAATACTAAAAAGAATAATTCTACGGGTTTAAAGGGCTAGGTTGGGGTAAAGAAGATACATGCACATCAATAGTATAGAAGACTACAAAACATCTGTGAGGTTGTTTAGACATTCATTATGATTCAGTAATAACTATGGAAGTTTATGAATGTTTTATAAAAGCTTTTACCTAATATGGAGGAAGTAGTAGTATCAAATGCTCTCTTGTGATAAATGAAACAAGTTGCAGAAAGCTTTTATTTACTGGCTGTTGATGCAAAACACACTACTTCAAAAAAATATCAAATTTGATTCTTGTTAGAATGTATGCTTCTCACATTGCTAATAAATCAAATTTGGGGTTTTAATATTCATATATATAAAAAAGCAATGCAAACAATTATTGTGCTTCATCTTCTGGGCATGAATGCCAAGTTAGTCGCTCTTCATAAAAAGCGATTACGATCTGAGGACACTTCACGTTGGCTTCTTTGGCCAGCACCAGATCTGCCTCATCAGAGTCTTTCCTGATGTAGAAGAGAGCAGGATTAAAAATAAATAAATAAATAAATGCAGAGCCATTAATCCAGTACCTAATTGTTACACTGTGGTTCTTCAAATTTTTTTAACTGCTAATGGGTTTCAGGAAGCATAAATATTGGTATAAATTTAGCAGCTCTTCATAGGCTATAAATTCTGAAAAGAATCTCAGTTAAAAATCAGTTTTCAGTCCTACCAAGGATTTCCAATCTAACAGAAAGGTTTCATAGTTGTATCTTCCTTCCCTTCCTATTTCTTTTCTGTTTCAGAGGAAAATGCTGTTCAAAGGAATTTAGACAGCTGCCAACTGCAGTATGTAATGAAAGATTTTTATCCCTCAAAGCATCATTAAAACTTTGAAGGAAGTATTTTAAAATTAATAGTATCCGACTTAAGGGGTGATTATTTCCTGTTTGTGCAAGTAACTTGCTGTATTTCATACTGCTTTTCCTGATGCCGCCTTCAGGTAACAAAGAATTTCTGACCCGATACGCTTCAGACTCCATTTCGAAGCCTATGGCTGATTTTATATGTCAGCTTTCTGACCACACACGGACTGAGGGTTTCTGTAGCCCGCGATTAATGATGAAAAGACAAATCAATTGCTAAACTGAACAAAATATAAATGCTCCCTTTGCATGTTTGCCTCGGTGTCGCGTTCTTCCTGCTATCACAACAGAAATTTTGAATAGTCACAATCTACGTTTTGCAGCTAAGTTCCACAAAGCATTACAGAGGTTTTGAAAACATGGAAAGAAGGCAGAATCTTCCAAATAACCAATCCTGGCAGTCCCGACAGGTTACATGATGAACCCAGTCTGTGAAGACTACTCAACTTAACTCCACTTGAAGTCAAAGGCCTTCATCCTTCTCTATCATCCTGCCACCCTAAGAAACCTGACCCCCAGCAAACATTATTTCAGTCTCCTTTGTATTCTGGACACTGAAGGAAAAAAAATCTTAAATCTTATCCTGCTTGTTCACTGGGTAGAGACAAGAAGTCTTCTCTAGGCACCACAGCTGAAGAAACCGGTCTCCTCCTGCCCTCCCAACACTGCAACCTCCCCATCACTTTCCCTTCTAACAGGTCCATAACGACAAACCTCTCCTCCCTATTGTCTGTTCTTCAACACAAGCTCACCTTCTTCCATGGATCCCTTCCAACTCCCTATCCATACGGCTGTGTGCAAAACAGCAGGCACTAAAACCCTAGATAACTAGGTAGCTTCTGCTTCTTGACATGTAAAGCGGGAGCTCTACTTGTCATTCCCTTAGCACAGGCACTAGTGAGAGCCCATCTTTTCCATGAACATGCTATTTTTTCTGTATCTTACTAGAATTTACTTTTCAAATTTCTGCATCTGCAAAACATAACCTACTCTTACGTACTTCTGTATTAAGGTTTAATAGCATCTAAAGTTGCTTTGTTTCTGGAAGAAAGGAGTAGGTACTGAATGGCTATATAAGCTTTGCTTTTCTAAGAACACGAGGTTACGAATCTGACCAACCAGACCTCACCAGTCTAAGTGCTGCTGCCAGTTTGCCCCTTACTGGGGACCACAGCCACCAACATAAAACTTACCATTTCATGAGGAACATAAGCTCTCCACTGCTATCTGTAGCCCCAATTATCCGCTCAGGATCAAGCCCCCTTGCAAACCCTCTTGGTTTATCAACCTGTTGAGTAAGTTAAAAGAACGTATCTAACTTAGCAGAAAAATCTGTTTTGGCATCTGATATATGCATTCACGCACGCATATATGTATTGCAACAAAACGAAACACAGCTCTACATAATTATAAAGGATGCAGTAACCAGATATGCCATTTCAGAAAATAATCAATTTATTCTTTTTTGTAACTGATCTTTAGCCAAAGTCATTTAGATGCACAGTAATAATAAAGCTATTTTACAAAAATGTTCCCAGCATTTATTTCTGAAAACTCAGTAGAAGAAACAAATGGCCTAAAATCCTTACAGCAATAAACTAGCATGGCTATTAAAAACAACAGGGAGGGACAAAGCAAAAACACACTCCTGAAAGTGGGATAAACATCCTTTTCACCAAAAGGAAATTCTAGGGCTGGCTTACACTGATTCTTAAAACTGCATCCATAGGGAGCATCTCAGCTCCTTCTTGGCTTACTAAGATGAGATAGTATTAAGAAATACAGTGACTATTTCCTGAATTATTTCCTCCAGTTCTGCAATATCCTTTTTGGGACAGAAACCACTACTGTACCAGAGGAGGCCACACAATTGACTTTATGCAGAGACTCAAGTATTACATATATTACTCACCCACTATTTCTTCTGATGCCTTCCAACATCATATTTTTTGACAGTAAACACATACTGAATAGCTGTCTCCAGTAAGACAATGGTCTTGGAAAACCATTGACATTGCCAAGTAGATCGTTTCCAAATCACTAGATGAAAGTTTATGGAGCAAAACAAACTACTGAACACATAAGGTGTGTTACTTTGCACTTACCGGCACTAAATTTATCATACTGTTCACTTGTTTAAATTGTAGGAGTAGCCTAGGCCTTTAAGAAAAGGCACTGGTTTTCTCATCTCACCCTTTCTACTCTCTCTCTGCCACCACCTCCTCTCCTAGTCTAAGTAACTGTCTGCTCCTGGCATTTTGCCATCTTGTCTTTCACCTCACATCAGACATATATTAAATGTGAAACCCAGTGCTGAATTTTTGCTTATTCCACTCATTAATCCTTTGCTGTAATACTAACTTTCTACTTAATACTGTTCACTAATGTATTAAACTCTTAGCCAGTCTTAGTTTCAATCATTCAGAAAGTATCGTGGAACAGTTTAAAAACCTCAACTAAAATAAGGACATTCAGCTACCTTTATCCACCACTTTGGCAGTTTTCTTAACCCCATCAACGTTCCCTTTTCAAACCACAGTTCTAGGTGTTGTGCTATTCTGGTAGTTTTAAATTCACGTTTAGTCTAATTCTAAGAATCCCAGTAGACTTCTGTAGGGGAGGAGGACAACGAAATAGGAGCACAGGAGAAACAAGTATGTAGCAAATTAACATATACTTACAGAATCACGTTTTTTCTTTGATTTACTATCATCGGATTCGCTATCTGACAAAGATTTTCTTTTGGAACCATCTGTTTTTTCTTTACCAGCCTTCTGCGAGTTCAGAAAAGCTTCGATTAGCTCTGGACAATCCAAGTTCTCTTCAGGTTCCCACGTGTTGTCAGCACTGAAACACACATACATTTATGCAAAACTAAGCAAAGGAGAAAAACGTAAACACAGCCACATGGCTTACCTTAGGCAAATCACCTTTCCCCATTATGTAAGACAGGCTTCATTAACACAAGAATACTTATCTTACCATCTTTATTAACCTTTCAGTCCTCAAATGCAATGCATGTAGAAACGAGCTCTGCTATTGTTGGGGACCAATTTTCTTAAACTGGAGATACAAAATAAGCAGCCCAATTAACTCCTGTGATGTCGGTGGCAGCTAAAATAAACAACTTTCACTCCACCAGAACCTACATGTCTATTTAAATTGACTCTCTTCCTGGTAAAAAAAGCAAGCAAGCAAACAACAACAACAAAACCCTCAGAAGGCTGACCATACAAACAAATTATACGGTAAGAGCGCTCTTTAAGACCGAAGCCAGGAGGAGGACACAATACTCCCAACGCTGACTCCCAGAGCCTAGGTACACCAGGCCTCCGCACACCAGCAGGGCTCTCCGAGGTCGGTCCACGCGCGGAGCTCGGCTGTATCGCACGCAGCGTCATCGCCCGCCCCGAGCTCGCCGAGGGGCCCCGTGGCAGAGCTGAGCAGGGCAAATGCTCCGCTGCACGGGCTGATTGGAAACTGAGGAGGTCCACGGGCTCTCCTCCCCGCTGATCACGTACTTCATCAGCAGTCCTCACGCACGAATACTATCACAACATCACTGCACAAGCACAGCGAGGCCCACAGGGTATTTTCAGTCACTGCAACATCTTTATACCTTCAAATCAGACCACCAAGAACTACACTAAACCCACTGCTCTTCATACTGTTATCACTGCACAGGTTTGAGGCTAGAATTTCAGAAAGCTGCAACGCGGTCACCTTGGGAGGTAGTAACATGACTGTCTACCTGAGGAGTTACTTTCAAACAATGGGTCATATAAACATTTAACGTACCACCTTCTCTCAACTCATAAAGGACAGTCCGCCAGAAGAGACTCTGTGCCAGAAGGCACAACCACGAGCCTTCTTTGACTAATGACTTAAGCCCACTGTTCTTGATGTTCCTGAAAAGAGCGTGCTTATTTAAGCCTTGGGAAAGATGCCTCTTGGTTCATGTCTAATGAAAGCAATCATGCCATGAAATCCCTTATAAAAATGTAGCTGATTTTGAGAGTAGTGCAGAAAACAGAATTAACTGCCTCAAACTCATCTTTCCAGACCTGTCTATAATTTAAAATCCCAGCAAACTTTCTTACTCAGAAATACATCCATTCCACGACACATAATACACACACATAAACTATGACAACTCTCAGTCCATCTTTCTTTGATAGATACTGACACAAGCTAAATCAAGGAACAGGGGCAACAGAACTATCACCAAGACCTTATTAAAAGCCTTGGAACATTTTATGAAGGACAAAGTCTAAGGCTACACATTTCCTATTTCATTTTTGATTTCATTTTCATTTTTGATTGCCCCACCTGAATATACATTTTGGATTTTCTTCTCTTGCATTCTGTAAAATATAGCTCCATCATACAACACACCCCCTGAGATGGTTATTAGCATTTACCATTCTATCAGAAAAAAATAATGGGTAACAACTTACTCCGTAAATCCTTTCCACTTCAAGTAGTATTCCACCTTTCCATTCACAACACGTCTGTCCAGGACTTTCTCCACAACAAATTCTTCAGGCTCAGCCTCTTCAACTTTTTTACCTTTGCCATTCTGTTTCTTTCCCATTTTGTGCTACAAAAAAAAAAAAAGAAAAAAAAAAAGAAAGAAAGAAATCAAAATGACATTATTCAGTCCTTTTTTTGGTTCTACCTACTGGCCAAATCCAGTCTTGCTCAGTAAACAGCAAAGATTCATGTCTTTATTACCACTACAGCCAGAAGCTCAGACTCTTTCTAGGTTACCTCATGGTCAGGTAACCTGAGCCAGATATGTTCAAGTTTTTTTTGATTGTTCCTTTTTTTTGTGAGGCGCTTAATGAGATACCCAACACTTAATACCAGTTTTTAAAAAGGCGAACTACTTTTGTCCATACAATCAATGCCTCCATTCCCCTTATAAATTCAGTGCTCAGAGTGCTACATGCTCAAAACGTTCAAAGTTTCTACACGCTAAGTCTATGCCTGTGAAAAGGCAGAGGGCAAGGAACAGCACAGGGCAGAAGTAAAGAAAAGTGATAAGGGAACGGTGAAAATGCATAAAACAGAAAGGGATGCTATTCAAAAGGAGGTGGTTACTACCTTTTCCTTCAAAAAAAAATAAAGGAGAAGCTGATGGGAGAAAAGTTCAGGGTACATTGCTATAACAGGCAAAATACTCAACAATAACTGCTAAAGTGTTGTCAATGGGATGCATGCTACGGAGCACTCCGTTATTGCAGCCCCCTCTCACCCTGAGTCATGCACCAATGTAACTTATGTTGAAAGAGATGCCACAAAGGTGCATAAAATTAAGACAGCTACACTTAAAGTAAAGCACTTAACATGTAAATGAAGACTTGCTAACTTAAAATATATATATATATACACACACACTTTAAAAGTGGTTTAAGTTTACATTTGATACTTTGAATAATATTCTTTAAGTTTTTAAAATACATATTACATCCACATCATCCTCAAGGCATTCCCAGTTTAATAAGGCAAAATTAAATGTAAAAGAAGGACACATTTCTCTGTTTGTAATCTTAAAAAAGTTGAAACAAGTCTATGACGTTGCCATATCACATTTCTGTAGCACTAAAAGACCAGAAGCAGTCTGGCTGCCATTTTGGACTGCTCCTTATAGGGAAATTGTTTAAAATGGCAGCCATAAACTAATGGGAGCAGCATTAAACTCGTAGAATGTATAGTCCTGCAGCACCCTAAATTGAAGCAGACAGAACTCCTCCCTTACTAACATTTCCTACAGAGCCAAAAGAGACAAGCAAAAATCACAGAACACTTCCATCTGCTTTATGGTGTTTTTCTGGTCCTACCTAGAATTAATGTGCATTAGTTTGCAATGCAGCAAAGCCATTTGAAAAAACATGGATTTGTAGACTTTGCAGAATTTTGTCTTGGTGCAGTAAAGGTTAAAAACACCTCCGCTGGACACAAAGTCAGCAATCATCTTTTTCTAAGAGGGACATAAAAAGTGATTCTTGATCATTTGCGCCCAATCTTTGTGCCTCTTTCTGCAATTAACTTTTCCTCTCCTTTCCAAACACAGCTTTATACTAGTTAGCAACTCCTAAGTGGAAAGTGCAAAGACAAGGAAAGGTTCCACATTTCACTTTCAGACAGCAGGTGTCTGCATATGGTTATATCTTGGGTGGCATTTGTTTTGATTTGGGAGTATGACAGACAAGATTATTTAAAGCAGAGAATATATTTCCAATTAGATTTTAACTGGCTGCCTATTCCAGGAGTATTCTGAGCACAGTATTGGAGTCTGAAGAGCTTCTGCTTGATCACACCGGCTTTTTTTGCCTCCGAAGAAAGATGAACATAACACTGAAATTAAAGCAAAATAAAAATATTAAGATGGCCAACCACTTTATGAAAGCAACTTCTTTCAAGAAAAGGAAGCGTGAAAGATGAGGAATGGGTAGAGATGAGGGAAAAAAAAAAGAAAATAAAAAAAGAATGACACAAACTCAGTATACCATAGTAATAAGACTATAATTCTCTGATGAGGCAAGCAGGCCACAGATGCAAAACTTCCTATGAATGTTTTCCTCACTTGCTTTCTTTCAGTGCAAGATGAATTGTTTCCACAAACTGTTTTCAGCTTCACTCATTCTTGTCACTTAAGATAAATGCTTTGGACTTCTGGATCAAAATAACTTTTTTTTTCTTTGCTTTCTAAGCTTAAGTATCTTCCATAAAAAAAAAAGTGTGGTAAGAAATAACAAATTTGAGAGGTTTTTTTTTAATATTAAAGATTTAATTAGGTCTCTTGTGCATCAGCATTGCTTTTCAAAGTCTTCTTAAGTCTCTCTAAACTGCTAAAATAATACTTGATTCTACAGCCTGCAAAAGTACAGAGTAACTGTTTAAAAAGGTATGTTCTGAGATCATACAAGTCAATGTACGTCTGAACCTACAAATTAATGTTACTCCTGACTTAAGTTGAAAGGCAGAAACTTCACCAGACCCCTACAACTCCCTTCTCTAGGGTTGCATGTTTTAAGGCATCGCTTGGACATCTGAACACTCATCTCTGGCTCATCTCTCTCCCTATATTCAGGAGTCGCATGTGAGATACAGATGTTCTTCAGGGAATAATCACACTTTTTTCAAAGAGCAAGATTCTAACGCTGATGTAACGCTGTGGTAAAGGTGTCTAACACGCAAGAGGCAGGAAAATCAGAATTACAGCTCCAGAGCTCTTACACTACTCCTTAACACGTTCAGGTTTTGCATGCAAATACACAACGAAGCAGAATTAGTGACGGTTCCCATGGGAACCATAACTGATTTTCCTGAACTGTGCAGCAAAATTCTCAACAACGGGAAAAGATTAGAAACACTGCGTTCACGGGGTCCTTCCTCTCCCTGCAGCCTCCCCTTCTCTTCCCAAACTGCTTAAGTCCTTCCATTCAAATTAGGGGAAGTGGACAATCACTTACTAGAAGAAAGTTCTGATACTGACCTTGGCGAAAGCTTTACAGTATTCTGTATATCTACTATATGTACAATACATACTAAATGTATTATAAATGTACAAAGTACTCCATAGTGCTTATAAGATGGGAGTTAATACATGTATATAAGATACCTTAATCTGGGTCAACTGCTAATAGTTTTAGTATACTTAATAAACCTTTTCAGGACATTATAAAGCAAATCTGTTCTCTGGATGTTACACTGTATATATTTTTGCTTACTTCCTCGCCTCAGCCTCAGAGGCATCTCACACCATATTTTTTCAAATCTCTACAAATTAGAGTTAGCTGAATGGCAATTAGAGCAATTTCTCTAGCAAGCAACTGCCCTTGTCTGTAATTTAATGTCAAGTAAAGCTTTACAGGGACGTGAGATCCACAAATGCATCATTAAAATGGTCCAGAAGGGGTTGACATCTGATAATCTCTGCTCCTATGAAATTCAAAGAAACTGTTATTTGTCAAAAAATCATTTCAAAAGGCATCTTAATTAGGCCACATCATTTCCCAACGTTATTTTTCATCAGTAAGAGGATTCTCTTTTTCTCAGGCAATCAGTCTTCCCTGAACAGACTGGGTAAAATAAATGGATATATGAATCTGACTTTACCTTTACGTATATGATGAACTACACAACATGCTGAAGGAGGCTAAAAAAATCCTTAGTGTTTTCTACAACAGTGCACATAAAAATGGTGCACAGTCCTTGATTTTTTTTTCCCCCAAAGTCTCCGTAGAAATGACAGATTTGTTAAAGCCAAAGATAATGTCCTTTCTGGTAGCCTTACTTTCTGGATCTGAAATTTTGGTCAGAATAATGCTGGGGAGGGGAGATGTGGATGTATCTTTTAAATGGAGATGCCAAGTTAAAAGTTTGAAAAAAAAATGTTGATTAAATCCTTACATACTTTAGGTGTGCATGAACTTACCAATGTAGTTTTATTGGAGGCCATTTTTATTGCAGACTTGCAGAGCTTTTACTAGAAAAATGCATGACAATTAAAAGGAAGTTTACATTACTCAAAGAAAGGCATCCCAATACAAGCATGGTCCTTGTTCCAACCCCCATGTACTCGCTGCACGTAACATTTCTAGGAGGGATTAAATCCAGAACAAAAAGTAGGTTACTACTTTGTCCAGCGTAACCCAGTAACACACCGTTATGCTGGCCAGGATACATGATACCGACAAAGTGGTGTTGAAAAAAAGCCTTTCCAAGGCCTCATGAGGCTCAGAGATGTTCGTAGGGAAAAGGGGGAGGACCATCAGGGATGCACACTGCCCTAAACCCAGGAGGGCTGGGATGCCAGCAGTCACCCGAGATACACCTAGGTGCGTTAACTGCGAACCTGGCGGGGGTCGGCTACACATCTGCAGTGCAATAAGGAGTCGCCCATCACTCTCACACGGCAGCCAACGCTGATAATATCAAGATATTATCCTGGCGCAACTCTAACGTTGCCTC